CACCTGTGGCCCTGCTCCCCTGCGGCCCTGCCCACCTGTGGCCCTGCTCCCCTGCGGCCCTGCCCACCTGTGGCCCTGCTCCCCTGCGGCCCTGCTCACCTGCGGCCCTGCTCACCTGTGGCCCTGCTCCCCTGTGGCCCTGCTCCCCTGCGGCCCTGCTCACCTGCGGCCCTGCTCCCCTGCGGCCCTGCCCACCTGCGGCCCTGCTCCCCTGCGGCCCTGCCCACCTGCGGCCCTGCTCACCTGCGGCCCTGCTCCCCTGCGGCCCTGCTCACCTGTGGCCCTGCTCCCCTGTGGCCCTGCTCCCCTGTGGCCCTGCTCCCCTGCGGCCCTGCTCACCTGCGGCCCTGCCCACCTGCGGCCCTGCTCCCCTGCGGCCCTGCCCACCTGCGGCCCTGCTCCCCTGCGGCCCTGCTCACCTGCGGCCCTGCTCACCTGCGGCCCTGCTCCCCTGCGGCCCTGCCCACCTGCGGCCCTGCTCACCTGCGGCCCTGCTCACCTGCGGCCCTGCTCCCCTGCGGCCCTGCTCCCCTGTGGCCCTGCTCACCTGCAGCATGTACTCGAACTGATAGATGCAGAGCCCAAGCTCAGCCATGCTGGGCTTGAAGAGCTCCCGCAGCCGGTACTCCTGCATCAGCCGCACGAACACACAGAAGGCCTCCTCTTCGGGCATCTGGGGGGATGGGCAGGTGGGAGGGCTCAGGGCAGTGGGGAGGAGCGTCTCGCTGCTCATCAGCGCCCTGGAGTAAGGGGCCTGTGTCCACGTTGGTATCTGGCTCCCTAGATTCTCACAACGCACTGCTGGTCCCTGTGTCCCCACTCGCTGTTTTACTGATGGAAAACCTGAGGCTGAGGTCACCTGTCAAGGGCCACTTGGCGGGAAACAGGGAAGCTGGACTTGAACCCAGGGCTGGCCACTGCCAGTACCCACCTGGTTAGGACACCTCCTGTCCACTCCCAGCTGCGTCCTCTCTCCCTGTCCTGAGCCCCCCAGTTTCTCTGGAGGAGAGCCCCAAGGCCCATAAACACCACGCTGGATGGCCTAAGTCCCCAGTCTGAGGTCCCTCCAAACCCTGTCTCTGTCCTGGATGGTACAGCAGACAGGACCCAACCAGACAGGTGCCACTCACTGGGCCTTGGCCTGGGGACTGGCAGAGATCACGGGTGTGGATGGAGAGGGAGGATCTGCCTCTAGCAGGACGCTGGGGGGAGGACACGCCACTTCTTTTCATCTCTTGGAGGCCGAGCCCAGCGTGGGCTGTTGTCTGGCAGGATCTCAGCCACCCCCCAGCAACCTACCTGCATGAGGAGCAGGCCCACGATGAAGGCGCTTCCCTGGCAGTAGCCCACCTCCCGGTCCACCAGCGAGTATGCCTGGAAGAGAGCGAGTCCTGAGGGCAGGGTCCCGCCGTCCAGCACAGCCGGTGAACTGGGGAACTGCTCCTTCTTTTGGGTCTGAGGGAGTGGGGAGCCCTGGGCCTCACCTTCATGACATTGAAGAGGACCTCCTGGCCCAGGCTGTCCTGGCCCTTGAAGAACTCGTGCTCTGGGTAGGTGCGGGCAATGTCCCTGCGGATCAGCTTCTCGCACGGCGAGGACATCTTGAGCAGCTCAGAGTACTGGTTCTTGACTGGCATGTCCGTGGCACTGCACAGGAGCTGCCACACGATGGCCCGGAAGTGGTGTGGGATGCCCTTGCGGATCAGCTCCTGGCCACGGGAGTGGGAAGCCGGGGCTGGACTCGGTCTCAGTGCAGCCTCCCCGTGGCCACCCAGCCCGGCTCCTCAGGCGTGGCTCGTTCAGGCCTCGAGTATGGCACAGAACTCATGGTCCCCAATCCTTTTTTTACCCCCTTTTTTTAGAGACAGGGTCTCATTCTGTCACCCAGGCTGGAGTGCACTGGTGTGAACATAGCTCACTGAGACCTTGAACCCCGCCTGGCTCAAGCGATCCTCCTGCCTCAAGCTTCCTGAGTAGCTGGGATACCCAGGTGGTGTACCACCATGCCTGGCTAGTTTTTTTAAACTTTTTTTTTTCTTTTTTTTTTGAGATGGAGTCTCACTCTGTTGCCCAGGCTGGAGTGCAGTGGTGTGATCTTGGCTCACTGTTACCTCTTGCCTCCCAGGTTCAAGTGATTCTCCTGCCTTAGCCTCCCAAGTAGCTGGGATTACAGGTGCCCACCACCACGCCCGGCTAATTTTTTGTATTTTTAGTAGAGACGGGGTTTCGCCACGTTGGCCAGGCTGGTCTTCAACTCCTGACCTCAGGTGATCCACCTGCCTCAACCTCCCAACGTACTGGGATTGCAGTCGTGAGCCACTGTGCCCCCATTCTTCGTGGGCACTACAGGGCAGCAAGCACATGGGCACCTGAGGTGCAGGGCCTGTCCAGCACCACCCTCACTCACTCTCTCCTGTCCCTGTGCCCTGGCAGGACACTCTGAAAGTGCCTGCACATCTCCACTGCTGCCACTGTGCCCAGGCTGAGGCCCCACAGACCCTGGTGCTGCCCGGTGGCTGAGTGACCACACCACCCGCTCACGCCGTCGGCCCTGCCCCGCTTGCCTGGCCGTCCCCCACCTTGAGCAGCTTCTCCTTCCTGCGCCGCCACTCCTCCCACTCATTGGCGATCCGGCCCCACAGGATCCACGTGTCCTCCTCCAGGTGGCTCAGGTTGGAGGAGGCCGAGGAGCTGGACACCAGTGAGGAGCCACTGTTCCGCCGCGAGCCATTCATGGAGCGCATGGACTTAGAGTCGGCCTCCAGGAGCCTGGACAGGAAGGGCCAGCGGAGGGGCACCAGTGACTCCCTAGGGACAGGGATCCTTGGGGAACCCAACCCATCCTCCTGGGGGTCTCAGAGGACACCAGGGATTGGGTCCCTCTTGTGTTTTTTTTCTTTTTTTTGAGATAGAATCTCACTCTGTTGTCCAGGCTGGAGTGCAGTTGTGCGATCTCAGCTCACTGCAACCTCTGCCTCCTGGTTCAAGCAATTCTCCTGCCTCAGCCTCCCGAGTAGCTGGGATTCCAGGTGCATGCCACCACACCCGGCTAACTTTGTGTTTTTAGTAGATATAGGGTTTCACCATGTTGGTCAGGCTGGTCTCAAACTCCTGACCTCAGGTGATCAGCCTGCCTCGGCCTCCTAAACTGCTGGGATTACAGGTGTGAGCCACTGCCCTCAGCACCCCCTTTTTTGAGACAGAGTTTCGCTTTTGCCCAGACTGGAGTGCAGTGGCGCAATCTCGGCTCACTGTAGCCTCTGCCTCCCGGGTTCAAGTGATTCTCCTGCCTCAGCCTCACAAGTAGCTGGGATTACAGGCACACACCACCACGCCTGGCTAATTTTTGTGTTTTCAGTGGAGACAGGATTTCACCATGTTGGCCAGGCTGGTCTCAAACTCCTGACCTCAGGTGATCCGCCTGCCTCGGCCTCCCAAAGTGTTGGGTGGTGTGAGCCACCACGTCCAGCCTAAAACCTGCATTTTAAATGGGGGTGGGGCCAGAGGAGGAAAGCAGGAAGGCCCTGCTCAACTTTCCCTCCAGTCCTGGCTCCATCAACCACGGGGGATCCACAGATTCACTTGACCTCCTAAATCCTCAGTCTCATCTGAACGGGGTGGGGACACGTATGTTCAGCCAGGGTTGGGGGGATGAAAGGAGGTGTCCCTCGTCCAGCATCTGGAGGTGGCTGTCACCTTGCACACACTGGGACTGGCTCTGAATGTGAGGGCACCTGGGAACTCCTGTGGGGGCCCAGGCTGTACCCCAAGATTCCACCCCATCCCCAAGTCCCCAACTCACCGGTTCTGCTCTTCGAGCTTGGCCAGCAGCTCCAGCTCATCGGGGCTAAGGTTCTCGGAGTCAGAGGTCGGGGAGCAGGTGGGGGCCGACAGGGCCTCCTGGGATGAGGAGTCGGGGCTCAGAGTGGGGCTCGCCATGGTTGGTGGGCTTGTTAGCCGTGAGCGGGGTTGGTTCACAGCTCTGTCTGGGGGCCAGAGACACGCGTGGTCGGCATTGGGTGGGTGCCCATTCCATCCTGCCTGCCCACTCTCGGGACATTTCCTCACTCTGGGCTTCCTACCTCTGGTCCACCCCAGTCTGTGCACCCCTCATCCCCATGTGCTCCAGCCCAGCTGACAGCCATGCTGCCCCTTCTGTTTGAGACCCTGGTGATTGGGATCCCTGTCTGTCTCATCAGGCCGGACGTCTGGATGGAGACGGGAGGACTGTTGCCAGGACGTAAGCTGTCCTGCTGTCCCTGGGAATGCAGGCCAAGGCTCAACTCGACACCCCTAAGGCTGGAGCAGGGCCCAGAGCGGAGGCTCCCTGTGACACGGGGCTCCACGGACCCTGCTGGGACCTCGGGGTGCAGGAGCCTCTGTTTTGCCAGCCCTTCCTAACAGCTTGGTCCCCGTCCCCTCTGCGGCCTGCCCTGGGAGTCCCACATCAGTGTCTGACTCTCCCCATCTCATCAACCAAAGTGGGCTGCTGGCATGGCCAAGAGCAATTACTCTCAACTGTTAATTGTCTGGTGCTGCCAACGGCCGGAAGAGTCGACTCCCCTTGGGCTGGGAAGCCAGGGACGTGGCAGAGTGCTGGGAATCTGTGCCCTGGCAGACACAGAGCCAGAGCCGTGGGCTCCGATCGGTATCCAGATCTTTGCCTGCCACGTGCCAGGCAAGTCCCATGCACATCTCTCCTATCCTTTTGCCGTGTCATCTGGCCTGATCCTTCTAGGGGCTTGAAGGACACTGACCTCTTGCCTTCTGCCAGCTGGAGGAGGCAGATCAATGCCGTGTCAAAAACAAAGGCCCTGGGCTCAAATGGATCTGTGTCTGAAGCATGGCTTCCCTCCACCAGCTGTGTGACCTTGGGCCAGTCACTTGGTGTCTCTGAGCCTCCGTACACTGAGATCATACAGGACCTAGCCTCAAGGGTGGCTGTGGAAACTGAGCATGTGACTGCACATACCGTGGTCAGAACAGAGCCTGACACTCAGCGACGGCCCCATGGACATTGGCTGTCACTGTCCATCCTGAGGCCAGGGCTCCTGGGTTCTGCTGTGGCCTGTGTGGGGACTGATGGCCAGCGGACCCCTAGCAGGGGGCCCTAGGGGAAAGGGACGGCTATGGGAGTGGAGGCAGCGGCTGGGGAGTGTTCCTTCATGCTTCTTCCTGGCGAGCCCAGGCTAGCCTCCAGCGTCTGGGAAGATGGGGATACCTAGGGTCCTGGCGGCAGGAAGGAAACCCTGCTCCCACCTCTTTATTTGCACGGCCCCTCATGCCCGCCCACTGCCCGCCACGCTCTGTAGCAGGAGTCCGCCGTGTGCCACTTAGCCCCATCTGACCTGGCTGACAGCTCCACCTACAGAAGGGGCCTCATTGGGTCCTTCGAGTGGGGATATCTGGACCCCCAGGCGGCAGGGGGACAGTGGCGGGACCACAGCAGACCACTCTATACCTGCCTGGCTACCACTGGGTCGCTGGGTACCTTCCACAGCCCAAACTCAGCCCCCAACCAAGCCCTGAGGGCCCACGGGTTGGGTGGACTTGACCCCGGCCACTGCAGTCCTCCTGGGATGGGGTTGGGGGAGGCGCGCCATTCTTTTTTCACCGCATGAGGACCAAGAACCCGCCTTCTCCAGGCCTCTGTGGCTCCCTAGGGCCACTGGCTCTACCTTGGGCCCTCAAGTGTTCCCCTAGTCTGCCGGGTGCTGAGGGTTTTGGATTTTGGGGAGCAGAAGGAACTCTCTCATTGCCAAGTGGGCCGGAGCCACCTGCCCTAAAGACCAAGCTGCTGGGCACCACCTAACCAGGAGTTAATCATTCCTCAGACGGGACAGTGGGGGCCGCTTTGGGGCCTCCCACAGAGTCAAAGTCTGCCAGGACAGAGACGGGGGCTGTGGACAAGAAGTGCTGATGAAAAGAACCTCTCGGGTGGGGGGCGGGGCTGGGAGGGCAGCTTCAGAGCAGTGAGAATGGGGAGGAGGTGGTGGAGGCGAGGCTGGAGCTTCAGAACCACAGATGGAGTTGGGGAGCAGTGAGAGCTTCAGAACCGAGGAAACCCAAGCTCAGGGCATCAACCCCACCCAATCTCTGCCGGAGCCTCGGTTTCTTTTCTTTCTTTTTTTGAGACGGAGTCTTGCTCTGTCGCCTAGGCTGGAGTGCAATGGCACAATCTCGGTTTACTGCAACCTCTGCATCCCGGGTTCACGCGATTCTCTCGCTTGATTACAGGCGCGTGCCACCACGCCCAGCTAAGTTTTCTATTTTTAGTAGAGACAGGGTTTCACCATGTTGGTCAGGCTGGTCTCGAACTCCTGACCTCGTAATCTGTCCACCTCCGCCTCCCAAAGTGCTGGGATTACAGACGTGAACCACCGCGCCTGGCTGAGCCTCGGTTTCTGATTTAAAAAATTCCTAAATCCCAGAGCCGTCCACTAGCAGAGGTTGTTCAGCTATTTATCAGGAATGTGTGTGTATTTCATACAGGAAGTGAAATGTAGTAAATACGCAGGGCTGAAACTTGCAGTCTGAGAGGCAGGAACCTTCTGATCCCACCGGAACTTTCTCTCCACTCATCCCCAGACTCTCTCAGTGGAAACCATCCTTCTGAAGCGTGTGTGCATGCACAACACACATGCACTCTTCACAGCCACCCTCACTCCCTCACGCATGTACATACATTCACACCCACCCCCACTCACATACAAACTCTCACACATACACATGCACACACTCGGATACACACATCCATGCCTATTCTCACACACGCTCACACACCTATACACACACACATGCACACATTCGACACACACACCCATGCCTATTCTCTCACACTCACACACCTATACACACACACGGACACACTCAACACACACCCATGCCTATTCTCACACATGCTCACACACCTATACACACACACGGACACACTCGACACACACCCATGCCTATTCTCACACACGTTCACACACCTATACACACACACGGACACACTCAACACACACACCCATGCCTATTCTCACACACGCTCACACACCTATACACACATGGACACACTCGACACACACCCATGCCTATTCTCACACATGCTCACACACCTACACACACACACGGACACACTCGACACACACACCCATGCCTATTCTCACACACGCTCACACACCTATACACACACACGGACACACTCGACACACACACCCATAGCCTATTCTCACACACGCTCACACACCTATACACACACATGGACACACTCGACACACACCCATGCCTATTCTCACACACACACTCACACACCTATACACACATGCACACACGACACACACACCCATGCCTATTCTCTCACATGCTCACACACCTATACACACACACACGCACACATTCAACACACACCCATGCCTATCTCGCACACACACACACCTATACACACACACATGCACACACTTGACACACAAACCTATGCCTATTCTCTCACACACATGCTCACACACCTATACACACACACGCACACATTTGACACACATGCTCATCCATAGTCACACATTTACACATATGCACACATGCGGATACACACACAGTACCTTCACACACATATATGCACACATACCTGTGTGCAATACACATATACCTGTGTACATTCAAACACACACACTCAGATACACATACACCTATACGCCTTCACACACACATGCACACACTTGATACACACATGCTCATGCATATTTGTGCACACTCACACTCGGGTACACACACACAGTGCCTTCACACACACGCGCACACACTCAATACACACATATCCATGCACATCCACACACACACGCTCACACACGAACACACTTGGATACACACACAACTATATACATTCACACACACATGCACACACTTGATACACATGCTCATGCATATTTGCACACACATGGATACACACACATCCATGTACCTTCACACAAACATGCACACATTCAATACACACATACCCATGCATATCCACACACACACGATACATGATTCACACACACATCGATGCACACACTTGATACACACCACACACATCCACACATTTTCACACACATGCACACACTTGATACACACCCATTCACATTGACACACACATACATACACTTGATACACACACCCACATAATTCACACACATGATACACCCCACGCAATTCACACACACACGCACACACTTGATACACACATTCACACATTTTCACACACATGCACACATCTGATACATACACACAGATTCACACATTCTCATACACGCACACACTTGTTACATACCCATGCACATTCACACACACGTACACATGCACACACCTGGATACACACACATCTATGCACATTCACACACTCGGACGTATACATGCACACACTCAACACACACACCCATGCACATTCACACACACAGTACACACCTCATACACATGCACATGACATACACTCACACACTCAGGCATACACACATACTCTTTCACACTTCTCAACACAAAACATACTCATTGACACACACTCTCACACGAACCCACACTCAGGCACACACACATTCCCACCCATCTACACACACGTGCTCAGACACACTTCCTGCGCGGAGCAGCCCTCGGCCCCTGGGAACAGAGCGGGTTTGGGCTGGAGGCGGGCTGCTGTCCTAACTCTGTGGGCGGCCCTGCACCCCTCCCACAGTGCCATGACCCTCGCTGGCTCAATCACTCCTTCCTGGTGCTGACTGAGGGCCACCTGAGGGCCGGCCACTGTCTAGGCAGGAGACGTGGCAGGGAGTGAGGCAGGGGAGGTCCCATCTCCATCTCCCCATGCTGAATGGGCACAGACCTTGGCAACCCACCCACTGGCCTCTGGGTCTGGGGTCGCAGCCTCTCCATGTCCTTAATTTCAATGCTTCACCTCGACTGCTCCTCAGCCATCTGAAGGGGGTCCTGGACCCTGTCCCTGCCAGCACCCACTCCAGCCACACCTCCACAGGGCCACCCACAGCTGAGGAAGCTGAGCCAGGCCAGAGCACTGGAAAGGGGCTGTGCTCGGGGGTTGTGGGGGGCGTGGGAATGGAAAGTGCTGGAATGCTGGGCATCTTCGACTTCCCTTTCACTTTACCTCTCGGGGGGCACTTCTGGGCACGCTTCCTCCGCTTCCCTAAGCCCCCTCCCACCTGGCTGACGAGCACTGGGCTCCTGGCTTCCCTCCTGCCTCTCTGGCCAGGACTTCTCAGTCTCCCATGTGGCATCTCTTCCTCCCCGAGTCCCTCCTTGGCCTTGGTCTTGATGCCCTTGGGGACCTCATTCTTGGGGCTTAAATGACCAAAGGTATGTCACCAGCTTTTCCTTTCTCTCAAGAACTGGCCAAAGTTGCCAAAGTTGCCAGAACAGCTCCATCAGCCCCTGGCCCACCCCCTATTCCATGTTCTGTGTTTCCCCCACTGGGGCAGGAATCACACCTGCCCTCTTGGAGTGTCCGGGGCAGAGAGCAAGAAACAATCACCCAGACCCTCCTTCACAGATTTAGATAAACGCTTGCAGTAAACAACACGGTAGGATGGAGAACAGTCAGGTGGTTCCTCAAAGACTTAAACACGGCCGGGCACGGTGGCTCAAGCCTGTAATCCCAGCACTTTGGGAGGCCGAGATGGGCGGATCACGAGGTCAGGAGATTGAGACCATCCTGGCTAACACGGTGAAACCCCGTCTCTACTAAAAAAAATACAAAGAACTAGCCGGGCGAGGTGGCAGGCGCCTGCAGTCCCAGCTACTTGGGAGGCTGAGGCGAGAGAATGGCGTAAACCCGGGAGGCAGAGCTTGCAGTGAGCTGAGATCCGGCCACTGCACTCCAGCCTGGGCGACAGAGCAAGACTGTCTCAAAAAAAAAAAAAAAAAAAGACTTAAACACACTGTCACCATGCCACTCGGCAAATCCACTCCTAGGGCTCAGCGTAAGAGAATGGCAAACATCTGTTCACAGCAGCATTATTCACAACAGCCAAAAAGCAGAAACAATCCAAATGTCCATCAACGGGTGAATGGATCAAAAAAACATGGTCCACCCAGACAGTGGAATATTACTCAGCCATGAAAAGGAGTGAAGCACCGAGACAGGCCAGAGCATGGATGAACCTTGAAAACAAGGTGCTCAGTGAGAGATGCCAGACACAAAAGGCCACAAACTGTGTGGCTCCCTTTATACGGAATGTCCAGAATAGGCCAATCCATGAAGACAGAAAGTGGATTTGTGGTCAGCAGGGGCCAGGGGGAGAGAGGAAAGGGAAGAAACTGCTTGTAGGTACAGGTTTCTTTTTGGGGTGATAGAAATGCTCCAGGATTCGATAGTGGCGATGGTTGCACAACACAACTGGAATAAATGCCACCAAACTGTAAGCTTTAATGGGGTGAATTTTTTTTTTTTTTTTTTGAGATGGAGTTTTGCTTGTTGCCCAGGCTGGAGTACAATGGCAAGATCTCAGTTCACCGCAACCTCTACCTCCCAGGTTCAAGCAATTCTCCTGCCTCAGCCTCCCGAGTAGCTGGGATTACAGGCATGCGCCACCATGCCTGGCTAATTTTATATTTTTAGTACAGACAGGATTTCACCATGTTGGCCAGGCTAGTCTTGAACTCCTGACCTCAGGGGATTCACTCGCCTGGGCCTCTCAAAGTGCTGGGATTACAGGCATGAGCCACTGCGCGTGGCCTAGGTTTGCATTTTAGAAAGACCCTCCGGCCCCCCATGCGGAGATGCTCTTCAAATTCAACCCTTTCGTGACAGAAGCAGCCCCTTGTCCTACTGTGGGTACATCTATCTGGGTCCCCAGTGCCACCTGCCACCTCCACCCACCCACTCTGGCCAGGCCTGGGTGTTCTCCTGCTGCCTTCTCATGTTCTAGAGTTCAGCCAAGCCTACCACCTACACCCCATACCTCACTCCCAACTGGCCTCTGCTCTCCAGGCTGGAAGCTGCTGTCTTTTTTTTTTTTTGAGACAGAGTCTTGCTCTGTTTCCCAGGCTGGAGTGCAGCGGTATGATCATAGCTCACTGTTCACTACAGCCTTGACCTCCTAGGCTCAAGTAATCTTCCCGCCTTGGCTCCTCAAAGTGCTGGGACTGTGCCCAGCTGGTTTGGCCATTCTTTCTGTGAAACCTTCTCTGTCAACCTCCGTTC